GAAATGCCAATAGAAGAAATTGCCTTTCAGACATGACATGTTCATCTATAATTTTAAAATGGGAGGTTCAGAAATTGCCTTTCAGACATGACATGTTTGCGTCAACGTCTGATATGAATACAAGTGTCAAAAATGCCAATATAATTTGTGTAGAGTAATTTAACTACTCTCATAGTAATGTGTCAACAAAAAATCTTAAGCATAAGCACCCAAGTTTCTAGAGGGTCAGACACGCGGATCGTTCCGACAATGTGAAAACACATGCCAAAAGCCATTGAAACGTGTCCAAGTTAAATGGTATGAATCATACCACGTAATCGAATACACTTTATAACCAACTAAATCAATGGGAAGTTTCCAATACATAAATGATTTCCACTAACTGATCACTGAGTGAATTTCCACTACAAGATGCTTGCATGATGAAAGCAAAGGCAATGGCACTACTTCACAAAGAGTTTCCATATGGAATATACTTTTCTTCAAATGTGAGAGAGAGAGAGAGAGAGACTCGTAAGTAACAAAACGATACAAACCTGCAAGTAATCGATGTCGGGGATTGGTTTATATTCTGTGACCAGCAAGGTACCGGGACCTTCAACCACTGATTCGATCTGGGTTGGGACCTTGTCCTCATCTGAACCAAACATTCTTGGATCACCATCTTCTTCCTTCCTACCTCTTCCATTGCCCTCATGTCCACGTCTCACATATCCACAAGCCCACTAGAGCAGAACATCAAAAAACACAGTCCCTGGTAGTAAATCATCAGTAAAAAACCAGAAAACGAAATATCATGAAAATAACCATACCATTCTGTCACCTATCTCATCTAAAAATAAAATCTGTAAAAACTTGGCAAAAATATTGGAAGAAGGGTTCACCATAAATGGGTATATTGTCTTAAATAACATTAATAGTTTCCTTCTCATCTGTAACCAACAAAACAGATCAATGTACTTGCCCCCGAGAAAAGCACCAAAAATCAATACTAATGGTCTCTTCGATTTTTTTGAAAACTAAAATGGAAGAAATACATTGAACTGTACAGTACACTGTGAATGCCTGGTTCCAAGTCCTGTACATGTGCAAAACCTAATTTAACAGAACAAAAGAGGGTTGAAGGTGTTCAGTGTTTTAGAACCAGAAAAAAATTAGATGGGTTTCTCAATTTATCCATGAACAAAATTCTAAGATTCTTTTATCCAAAATTTCACTATAAAAAACCAGAAGAATAACATGAAGAACATGTAATAGGCATCAAAATTCCTAATATTTACTTAACCCAACTTCTCACTTCTAAGAACCGAAAGATAAAACCCCAAAAAAATGGACCCAATAAACTAAAAGCCCATAAATTCCTTAAACCAAATAACAAACTAAAACCCACGAATCAATAAATTGATGAAACTCAATAAGCCCACTAACTAAAATACGAGAGAGAGAGAGAGAGAGAGCAAGGCGGCCCAGCCACACAGTAAAGCGCGATAAACAAAAGAATCTTGCACATAAGTAAGACAGACAACAAGAGAAAGAATAGTACCTTCTTTGTGGGTCTAAGGCGTTTGGGTAACTGTGTTCTTGCCCTAAAACACCTCATGTGAGAATTCAAGAAAGGATTAGGGTTTCTGGTGAGAAATGCATTGGTCGCAGGGCACTGAATTTTAAGCAGAGGATAGTCCAAGGACCAAAAGCTCATGGTTAAGGGCACCAACTGTCTTAAAGATGTCATGGTAGCGAGAGTAGAACCCTTTACAAAAGAAACCTAAAAGTTTAGGGCTCTGCTTTTGGAGCAATAGGAATCAAATAAGTAAAGGTTTTGGCCTTTGGCGATTGGGCACCACCTGTTCATGAACCAGAGTAATGAATTAATGGGTCGGGGGATTTCTTTTTTTTCTTATTTCTAAAGGGCTTCGAGGTTTACAAATTACAATAAACATTTATAAGATTTAATATAAATTTCCTGTCTTTCCTGAGTACAGGCTGGGGAGAAAGATAAACCACAATTCCACAACTGAAAAGAGTACTTTTTGAGGGATTTAGAGAGAGAAAGACCAAAGTTGCCCTTCACACAATTTTTTAGAGGGAGAATGACCAAAGTTGGCCTTCATATATTTTTTTAAGACCTGTTTGATAACTAGAAGCAAGTTTCGGAATTGTTTCTTGAAAATATGTAAATTAGACGTTACTTAAAATGTTTATGGTTTATGTGATTGATAGCCTCTTTGAAAAGTTAAGAAGTTTTTAGTTTCTATGTTTGATAACTTCTAAAATATATGGTAAATATCTTATATTTTTATTTACATTGATAATAATTCAAACATAAATATATAATATTTATAATATACTATAATATATGATATATTGTATTTTATATTTATTCTATTAATATATATTTTTATTATATAATATTATAAATATCTATTATATTTTATAATATTAATAACATACTATAATATATAACACTAGGCAATTTAAAATTTTTTCAAATTTATCGAGGACGTATTTGATTGATATAAAAATTAAAAAGACATAGTCGAGTGTAATTTATACTTTTTTTTATCCTGTTAATTATATTATAAGGGGTTTCAATCATTTTTTTAATATCTTTCCTAATATTTTTGTAGCAATTTTTGTTAAATAAATGCAAAACTCGACTTTATTTTTCTATAAGAGAATAGAAATATAATTATTTTGAAAACCTTTTGAATATTTTTTATTAATGGAAAACCAGCTCATAAAAAAAATTGGCCTTGAAAGTAGAGAATATCAAAGTATTAACGTTTGACAGGAGTATGAGTATTAAAAAGTCACCTTTCAAAATTTGCTTTCTAGACACGATATGTTGGCTCACCATTTGAGAAAATGAGGAGAAGAGATTTAGGTGCTGTTAACTATTTCTTTAGATTAAAAAGAAACATTAAAGAATTTATATATAAGCTGTTGATTCACCCCGTCTCTATCCATTTGTGTTTTAGAACACTTAAAAGCAGTGTTTTAAAACCCGGCTTGGCCGGGTGATTGGCCATATGAAAATCTTGTCCAGATCGCTTAATCACCCAGAGTAGCGAATCGAACCAATTCATATCAGTTAGAAAAAAAAATGAAAGATGTGGGATCTAGGATCGCTCAATTCCCGGATAGAATTGACTAGTTCACTGACGGAAGCAAGCAATTCCAAGGGAACCAGAACGATTCTTAGTTCCAACAGGGAGTTGGTACCGTGTCAGTCTACATCAATTTCTGATCTATATCAGGATTGCTCGTTTTAAACTCTATTGAAAAGAGAATAAAAAGTAATTTATGTTAGGAAAATATATAATACGACAATTTATCTTTGGTACAAGATGGTCACAATTAACCTTGACCGTTAGATGCAAAATTAGATGGCTGCATTTATTCTATTGACAAAGCTTAAACTTCAAAAGAAATTTTTTCCAATTTATGACACATCCAAACTATCATATTTCACATTGGATGGTTGTAAGTAATTGTGACCTCCTTGTATCACCTTTTATATTAATGGTCTCATTGTAAGTAATCCTTTTATATTAATGTTTCATAAAGAAGTCATTTACAAAGAAAATTATTTCATGTGGGCTGGAACATATTTTTACAACATGCAATCTAGAGGTATAAAGCATCCATCTTAAATATGGATGTACACAAGTTATTCAGCTAAAGACAATTATAACTCATGGTTCAAATGTTTTTTTAATATAATCATTATTTTTATTTTTCAATTTTTTTTATATTCATGATAATATCAATATCAAATTATATTGTACAAAATATTTATTGCCAGGCCTGCATTTCTACAATATGCGGGCTGGCCGCATAGAAACTATGTCCCATTTATATTGATAAAGAAAAGATGGTGGTTAATTAAGACATCTAATGCTCTTTACATGCATTTTATACGTCTCCTACAACATAAAATTTATATGCTTTTTCTTATCCCTCCATTCTGAATGGAGGGCTAAGATTGCCCCAATCACAGTGTCACATCTCTACACTATTTTATTTTTAATTTTCTTATATAAGATAGTTTGACACTAAATTTAGGCATCCAATCCTCTATTAAACTTACATTTGTAAAAAATAAAAAAAAAATATTCTCAATAAAATAAAATAACCAAAATATTTCTAAAAGATTCAAAAGGTATAATAACTATTTTGGTTATTATATTTTATTATTTTTAATATTTTTTATAAGTGCGCCCCAATAAAAAAATGACATGTAATAAATTTTATATTCATATAATTTGTATTAAAAAAATTAAAAATAAAATACTATAAAGCATCATATCTTAGATCAAATAGTAAGTGACTCGCTTGATCAAAATTGGACAGCAGGGAAAGCATAGAGACCTTTCCTTTAAAAAATATAAAATATATTCACATATTACAATAGCATCTGACGAGGAAGAATGTTTTGTCAATGTCGTACTGAGCATATTCAACACGAGGTCAACATCTCTCTCTCCTAATTTGAACTAGGTCAATTTTCTTAACTGCCCCTCTCACAGATACTATGCTCAATTTGGAGCATGGTTTGCTTCTATTCTCTCGGTCAACAGAACTACTTGAGAAGGAATTTTCTAGCATTTTGATCTCATTATCTAAAAATTGGATGGTCTCTATTTAATATTAAGATATTATTATTTTTTAAGTACATAAAAGGTATAAATGGGAATTTTTTTATTGAAGTCAATCTATTATTGGGAAAATTACATCCTTAAAATTTGAGGTCCTAAAATTAATTCTAAATAAACTTTTACCGGATAGAATAAATGGACATTCTTCTCCCTAAGGAGTAGAATATCCCTTGACTTTTTTTAAAATATGAAACCCGGTCAATCTCTCTCTTTCTCACATTATGTGCAGAATATCCCCTTAAATTCATGTGGCAAACAATGCTCCTAATTCATTGACAGAACAATGGAAAGCTGGCAACTCATAAGATAAATTACTTGATTAACGTATTAAAAAAAAAAAAACCTAAAACCAAGAAGAATTCCATCCAATTTAACTTAAAATAGAATTCACAGCCATAATATCACTGCGTCTTACAGGTGCCAAACCTTGGTTTATCCCCTTAAAAACCTTAGTTTTCAGCCATCAAAAAAATTAAAATCTCCCAACTCATGACCCCACACCCTTGCCAGATATCTGACCCACTATTCGAATGCTTGCCGAAAATCTGACCCACAAGGTCGTAGTTCCAAACCCAAAAATTTTAAATAGAAAAGACCCCAACAAAGGTCAAATTATTGGCTGTAACATGAGGCAGGATATAGTGGTGCAACTCTTCCTGGTCCAGCCAAGGGGGCAGCGGCCACTCCTCTCTGGTTGAGCAGACACCGAAAGTGAGCCAACCTTCCAGTTACCGTTCTTGGGTTCTTCGCCAATTTGTTTAATGGAGTCCACATGCGTTCTTCATAAAGAAAAACACAAAGAAAGTAAGAAAGAGTGTACACATATTAACTTATATACATACATACATAAGCCGACCCCAATTACTTGTAAAAAGGCTTTGACAATGATGATGACATACATGCATACATACATACACATATATACATACACAAACATGCGTGCATATACATGCATACGAACGACATATACGTATTAGTAAACAAATGCTTGTGTTGTGGCGGATGCATGCACATTTACTGTACACATGCGCATGCATTCGTGCATGGGCACAAATATACATAACTACCTGCGTTAGGTACATGCACATTCCAACATTCGTGCATCTCCGCATATACATACAAAGGACAGTGTGTATGAGCCTAAAGGTAAAACCTTTAATGGACTACAATGCACTTTCATTAAAGAACAAATGATTTTGCATTAGAGACCAGAAGAGTTATTAATCTGAAAAATCTGTATAACAGAGCACATACTGCTATGATTTTAAGCAATAATTCAGAAGAGATAGAGGAGAAGAGGGGGGAGGGGGGCAGTTTAAGGAATGACTGATGAGTCAAGTAAAATTCGGGATTCGGACACTTGAGTTAGTTTTTCACTCATGCTGTGCAGCACCAAGAGTCTCACTTTCTCAACCAAAGAACAAAATTAAAAAGTAACAAAAGGAAAAAAAGACAAAAAACAAAGCAATTAAAAGCATAAGAAGGAGAACATGAAACCCTTTCTGAAAATAATATACTTTTTTTCATACTCCGAATCCCTATTCCCATTGCAAACAAGCTTGAGGTTCCAATAGGAATCCCTCCTCCACTAGAACTGTCATCTTTGAAATGGCCCAACCATCATTTCCACATGGCCTGGGTTTTTTGGTTGACTACCATTACACACTAGAGGGTCTCACAATTAAGGGGGGCTCTGTTTCCCTCCTTGAAAGTATATTAGTGGGGTCTCTTGTCAATCCAAAACCGTGAATACAGTGAATGAAACATCAGAAACATCAAGTAAATACACACACTTGTCCCCAAGTCAATTAAGAGGAAGTCACACTACCATGTTGACCCCAAATCTCTTCTAAAAAATAAAAATTCCGAAAACTACTCTCTCTCTCTCTCTCTCAAGATTATAATAGTCACCTGCAGCGGCTGCAGCACGAGGCCAGATGGTTTGTTCAAAATCGGAGGCATCCACATGCTCACCCCACATGCAAACCTCACCGCCAATGACCAAAGCCTGTTGTTTCGGGTCAGTGATGTTTGTAAAAGGCTCATTCATGTAAAACTTCTGCCATGTGGTGTCAAGGTGGTCCAAATACCACATATCTTGATTGCTCACTATGCACCTTAACCCAGCTGCCACAACCTTAGGAGCAACATCTCCACCAAGCCTGTGTACAAATTACCATTATTTTCTCTGAAGTTTGGGCCATACAAACAGTGGGGAATAAGTTTGATGTGTGTTTACAAAGAGTCAAGAGTATTAAACATACAAATTAAATACACTACAGTATGAACTTGAGTAATAATTCAATGTGTCACAAGGTTGAGCCAAGTTGCACTTATTTGGGGTGGTCTGGGTTATTTCTCAATGGTCAGTAAGATTTTACCTTCTTTTCCCAGGAAGTAGGGCAAACCAAATTGATTTCTAAAGCACTGACTATACCATGGCCTTTTATGGGCACCACTCCCTCTCCTCACACACACACACATCAGAGAAAAGATTCAAACTCATCTCTGTCCTCTCTCATGTGCTCACATAACAATAATACAATAGAAAGTCTATAGAGATCACAAGATAAGAAAAATTACCAGTTATGCACTACTGTTCTTGGGCTTAGGTCTTTGCCGAAGCTGTTGAATGTCTCTTCCCTGTGTAACTGACGAGTAAGTATGCAAGAACAACAAAATATGGGGCAACTACACCGCCAAATAGAAAGGTGATCCTACCAATTGATGACATCATATCCATGGGAAATTGCTATCTTCTGTGCACGTAAGACAAAGTATTTATAAGCATCAGACTCGTTCAAACCATGCCGGTTCAACCTGAGCACAAAGAAGATGACCTTCATGAATAAGGAGATAATTAATTCACAAGGTTTAACTGCAGAAAGTTATCAGTATGCTATATCCTCATGCTACCTTCATTCTACTAAAGATACTCATCAATTGCTATTTTCTTATTAGTGGCTGATTTGGTTGTTAGATACTACCGCAGTAATACTATTGTTTGTAGTCCAATCCCATTTGGCAGCCATAAGAGCTCTGTGTTTTTTCCCCTTGGGTATTCAATCAATAGGGTTTTATTGGGAAAAAAAGAACGAAAAGAAAATAAAAAGGTAAAGAATAATTGACACCATTAATTATCTGGGGAACATTAAAAAAACCTAGAGTCCTTACCATTGCCTCACATGGGGTGTCGTCAACCAGCAACCTGACATAAATCACTTATATTAGGCAATGCATTTACATTCCATATTTGATTCTCAAATATCAATATACATAAAGAGTAAGACGAATTCGAGTGAATGAGAAAAGACAAAGAAAACTTCAAATGCAATACAGCTGGCCAAAAAAACCATGTCTAAAATGCAATCACATTGGACTGTAGGCCTAAAGGCAGTGGGGCACTGGCTCAGCCATTTGGCTTTGTACAGTTAGTACAAACGAAAATGAAAATACTTAAAGAGGGGAAAAGGAAGAACAATGAGAAGTCAAGTAAATTTTTTAAAATGAGGAGAAAAGCTAGAATTCCAACATCTCAGCTTAGATGAAACTATTCCATTCAATTCCTTACAAGAAAAACAATGTTGTCACACTTAAGCATGTGTTACCAATGGAGAAACTGGTACATGTACAGTCCATGTTAAATATTTCCTTTTCTCCACCCATTTTAGGAGCTTAGGACATCTTTAACTCAAATTCATATGATGACCTCAAGGAGAGAAAGTTTATCTATCTTATGATTTCAGATTCAAGAAAGTATTTTTACAGTAGATACATCAATATAAATGAATGCTCCTGATAAAATGAACAGCCAAATCCACTGAGCATGCTTGGAGAAGTCATTTTTTTGTTTGTAAAAATAATGATTTCATTCATTTTAGTGGAATACATTGACAGATACAGGAAGAATTAAGAAAAGCACAACTGCAGCTGCCTTAATCCGAAGCCCACAATTAATCGCACCTTTGCAGATTCAAACTCAACAGTGCCATGGAATTCTAAGGCAGATCCTAATTTTTTTTTTGGTGATTATTAATTCTCAAACAAAAAAGCCAATCAATTGTTCATTATATCACAAGCATGGACGAGTAAAAAAAATTATTTCTTTCCCTCCAGTGGGTAACCCAGGAATGTAACCCAAACCCATGTTGTAAAGACTCATATCAACCACCAAGCCAAGACGGTTGCCACTACAGATAATCTCTATATACCAATTTACCCTCCACTTTTGAAAATTGTCATAAATTACCCGTACACTACATACAGTGAATTTCTAACATATTAACATCAGTAAGTGCAGCCTTTGAATTCATAGAACCAAATTACCAAACGGTATTCAGTGGATGAGAACTACAAAAATCGAACAATTTTGATCATGAAATAAAGCTAAAGAATAAGGATATAGAGCAAAATACAGTAATACAATATCAAAGCAGCTAAAGATGAAGATTATCGAACTTACTGTTGTCAACTTCGTCACCTCCCAAATGCACAAACTTAAAGTTGAAGACCTTACTGAAATCTATAACACAAGTTTTCAATAGCCAAGATGGTATTACTCAATCAGTCATCACATTAGGAACCACATCGTAAAGAGACAAAAATCATATTTTTTCTCTTTTCCTTCTTGGGCTTTGGAAAACATTGAACTAGCCAGTCTCATGTTAAATTAAACAAGGAAATGCCTAGATACATACATCCAAACTTTTGATAATCCTTTGAAGGCACAAGTAATATATGGAAAACTAGTAATACAAACTGCATGTAACAGAAGCTTCACATGATGGAACAAGAGAACATACTAGAAGAGAGTAAAACAAAAAATTTGTCAACAAGTTATTATAAGAAAATAAAGAGTACATTAAGAACATTTATATTGAATATCACTCCTTGATTTTAATTAATTAATTCTACCAACATCAATGAACCTCAATCCTTTTAACAAGTAGGCCCCGAGAAACTCTGAATCACTGGAGACAATAAGAACTCAAAATTTCATGGGCTGAAGAATATGTTGGCTGACTCATGGATGAGCTCTGTGGACAAACTTTCAAACAAACAATGTTGGCTAACTTTAGTATGGAACCAGATGAGCTCTGTATTTACAAGGGCATACCCAGCTAATGCTCTTGCATTCAGTTTCTTAGGATCTCTTTTCTCCCTTGATAAATTAAAAATATAAGAAAAGCAGCCAGAGATGCCCCCTTTTACCCTTTTCCTTATTTATCAATCTTGCTCCTGACTTCCTTTTATGGCCAAAAAATTCCAAGGGAAAAAGGCCATAGGAAGTATGGACTATAGAAGCAGAAATAGCAGAGAACAGCTCTCTAGTTATAACAAATAAATAGTTAATTACGAACAAAAATATACCTCCCCAGTAAAGTGACTCAACAGAGGAGTCTGTTACAAGCTGCCTACTGCTATATTCAAGTCACCCTTCAATGTCCAAATTTTCCTCTATTAGTACATGGTGCGTTACTTTTGAAGAAGGTAGTTGCTAACAAGCGAAATTTCTTCAAAAGGAAACCACCCATTCACATGGTCAAAACATACACAAATCCAGGCATATAAGGCTCCAGAGGTTACCTGACAAAATGCTGTCTATTACTTTAAATGTAAATTCATTACTGACATCAAGTGGCTGTTGACAATCTGATGATGGCCATAATGATGGATAGCCAATACCCCTGATCAATAAATATAATAAGATCTTACATATCACAAACATCCAAAAACCCTTTTTTCATTTTCCAGAATATACTGAGTATTTGAAAACAATGCTACGTTATGTCATATTTTAATTTACCCTAAACAACCCCAAGTAGTTGGGATAAGGCTCAAATAATAATGATGATGTCATATTTTAATTCACCCATATAGATCACCATAGGATACTTCTGTTACAATGCTATCCATGGTACACTACTTTTAGTCATTTTTCTTATGGTGTAAACAATATTGAGTATTGACAAATTCAGGTTTAAAACACCTGGAACTTTCCCCATTCTACTTAATTCAGACATCTTGGAGTCTTAAAACATGCAGCTTGCAAGGGGGTTAAAACAGTGCTAGTTTTATAAAGACAGTTTTGTAAAGACACCATATGTTCTTCACAAAATGAGGGCGTGTCCCAAGTCTTTATCTGAGAATTTAGAAAACATAATATTCAAGTTTTCTAGATTAAGACCCACTGCATTGACTCAGGATTCGGAAAAACGATAGGCTTGGACCATGACAAGTCCTGAGCTGAGTCCAAGATTAATAAATAAATTAATTAGATGTAGAGTATGAAAAAATGTATTAGCAACCAAATCACCAGAAAATTTGAGTACCATGAGAGAGCATGTCCAGGTACATCAATTTCTGCCAATACATGAACACCTCGTCTCTGAGCATACCTGCAGCATATAGAAACATCACAAAGCATTTATGGAAATGATGGGGTTGTATGTCTTTTCAAGGACAGGGCGTAGGTCACTTATTTATCAAAAAAATTTAAATTTGTCGCATATAAGGATTAACACTTACTCAACAATCTGTTTTGCATCAGACATTGTATACCGCTCTGAAGGAGAATATGCACCTTCCCACAGTTTTGGATATGAAGGTATCTCAAGAGGGAATGATTGTGTATCTACAATGTGCCAGTGCAGAACATTCTGTATAGAAACATGCAAATAAACTTGATAGGTTAACGAAGCTAATCGCAAAAATAAAAATAAAACCACATGCAAGAGAGTCATGCATACCAATTTTGAGAAAGCCATACCATCGATCACACCCTTTATCATTCGTAAAGGCTGATAATGACGAGAAGTATCTGCATGAAATTCATTTACGAAATAAAAGATTGAGAAAAAGATATTCATTAACTTAAAAATATGTCATCCAGATGGAAGCAGATAAACTAGACAGAAATGGGGTGTGAAAGAACGATAAAATGGCAAGTTCCAAAATTATTTCTGTACCAAACATTGATCAACATACACATAAATGACATCAATTATATATACTAGAGCCACAACACAAATGGAAAACTGTCCCAATATGAAGCAGCCAACTCATGCAAAGAAAATAAAATCAAATTAGAGAATAGGGAAACATTAAACTCATGCAAAGTTATATTCCAATGCTATGCTCCTCCAGATGTGGTGCAAAACATAATGAGCGCCATGGATGCATAGCCAAAGGCAAAGGATGAATAAAAGTTCTCATGGAAGATTCTAACTTCTAAGCCACACAAGAAGTCGATCATGCATGCAATGGCATCCATACAAAAGTTCATCCAAAACTGCATGTAGGCATGCATAAATACCTGCCTACATACATGTCTATACATGCATAAGAGTGGCAGAACATGTCAACCTGGCTAACCTATCCAAATGGATGCAAATAAGTCAATCCATGCATGCATGCTTAAATGTATGCTTTCATGTACACAACTATGTTTGATAAGACATTTATTTTCACATGTTGTGTGGTCACAAATTGTAAGGAAGGTATTTATGTATCATGTATGTTCTGATAAGGTGGTCTTTTTTCTAAGTTCTATTTTGTTCGGACTCTCTTTTGAAACCACCATACCAGAACAAAATACCATGAAGGAATCAAAGCTCCAACAGTTACGCATGGTTGAATAGACTAATATGTTGCTTATATTTTAGGCCAAAATGGTAAGTAAGCTTTTGTAAGTTCATACAAACAGAACATGCTATCAACTGTGAGCAACATCAGCCCACCATCCCCCTCATTATTATTTTAAAATGGAGGAGATGAGCGCTTTTAGTACCAGAGATCCACCATAATTAATAGTGGCAAGAGTTTAAGACATTGCACATCATCCAAATAACTCTTACCAATTAAAAGTCCCCGATACGAGAACCTTGGTTGATCAGCTATGGTCCATGGAGCATTATGAATTTCGACTATCCTTGTTGTGATATTAAAATGGCATAACTGGCTAAATGTCTGCAGTACTTCATGCCACACAAAAAAAAATCATCAAATGCATTGCCTCTTAGAAAGAAAAGAAACAATATAAAGCACTTTCCATATAGGCTGTGAACCATATGATAAACTAAACATGAGAATTTTAATTAAAGATTACACACACACACACTCACACATATCTATATATATACATATATATATAACCTTACAATAGCTAGGCAGCTATAATGAATAGTAATATAGGTGGAATAGGAGCCATCAGATATTCATCATGTGGTTCAGAATGCATATCACTATATGAATTTTAATATATTTTCTAGAAATTGGATCATAATGAAATTTTAGAGGTGTGTACTAAAAAATAGGGCGCACAATTAAAAAATGTATAAAAAATATTCCCCAAAATATAAAATGACTGAAATACCCCTGAAAAATGACAAGTGTAATTTGGTCATTTTAAATTATTGATAATAATTGTTTTATATTTTTATATGGTGCGCAATAGTGTTAGGTATATACAACTAAAATTTCATCTTAATCATATTTATAGAAAAAAATTAAAATTAAAATAGTGATATATATTTTGAACCACTCCATGAAGATCTGATGGTCGGGATTCCACCTATATTACTATTCATTATAACTGCCCAGCTATTGTTAGCTTTTTCCATATATATACATATATATATATAATCTAAACTTCACAACCTTTCTAATTACAAATGTTCAAGATAGAGAGAGTTGTGAAGGGTGGATTTATTAATTTTCTAGTTTATTTTTTAAAGAAAGTTACTTTTGTGGGGCAATTTTGTAAATATTACTACATGACAAAGGGTAGACAAAGGGTTCTTTTATCATTTCTATAAGGGGTAAAGTTGAAATTTTAACTAAAGGACAGGGGTACTCTACAAATAAATTTTCAGCACACTAACTTCAAAAATGCCATTGTACTTTTGTGAAAATTTCAAATTTACCCTTGCTTGATGGAAAAGTTACCTATTTAAATAATTTTTTAATAAAAAAGTAATGATTGTTTTGATAAATATACCCATCACAACCCCTTCTAACTTGAACCTGAGTTAGAACCTTTGTATTTTGAGGGGTTGTTAACTCTAGACAAA